TCGACCGGCTGAGGCCAACATAATTTTGCTCGTTCGACATTTGTGGGATTGTTGGCAACCCCTTTGGCTTCCATCTGCCCCGGTCAGCCGTTTGGCCAAGAGAGAGCGGCTCGAGTTTCGAGTTCAAGGAAGACCAAAGCCATGGAAGCCGAAGCACGGCTGCACATGAAGAGCTGCTTGCACATTGCTTGTGCAAGGTGTGTGTGTATATATTAATTATATATTAATTAATTAATTAATTAATTAATTATATATATATATATAGGAGAGTGAGCTGAGGCACTCATAGGCCAGCTGGCGTTCATCAAAGATGACGCCAACGCGGCTGATGCTCTGCCCAGCCTGATGGATCCTGGCGATGTCAGCCCGACTTCCCAGCGGCACTACGCTGAAGGGGAGGCCCTGATGAGCATGTTCGGTGTTTGGTGTGGAAATCACGCAGCTGGAACTGGCGGAGCTTTCCGAGCATGCTGATATTGGGTGAGGCTGCGGTCACGGAAGAGAGGTTCAAGCGATTCCATGATAATGCAGAGTCCACGTGCAAGGCCCGTTCTGAAGTGGAATGCTGAAGAAGTTGGGGGGGTTGGCGGGCAGCACTGCGCAGGCTGTGAAGCTCCAAGATCTTGGAGCTAGCTTCGTCCCGCGCTCGGCCTGGAGACTCCTTCAACAGCTCATGCTCGCGCATGGTCCGAGGTGTGCTCCGTGGCCTCGAAGACCTTCCTGAACTTTTACGAATGCACCGATGTGGCAACTGGCCGGCATTGAGAACTTGGGGAACTTGCCTGGCGCGGCAGCATCCAGGTCTTGGAGGCTCCCCGCAGGAGCAAGTCTTGGACAAGCCTGCCACGGGTGGAGATGCAACACGTCGGGAGCCTTGTGAGCCTTGGCTTTGGAACAACCAGCCCAAAGGGCCCAGAGGCCACCGGCAGTCCTCGATGCGTCTGTTTCGAGCCAAGGACTTCCAATTGGACGAGGAGCGTGGTTTCTGTTCACTTTCTGTCCGCCAGGATGTCCAGCTGCCAGGAGCCCGGGAAGTCTTTGGCAAAGCAGGCCGTGCAGGCGAAGGCGGAGCCTTCCCAAGCAGCGTGAGCATCTGACGGGCTTGCCGAGTTGGCCACGGCTTTTGCAGGACCCCCCGCACATGGATGTGACCGGCTCGGCCATGTCTGTGGTGAGCGTGGCCTTTGTCCCCGGCTTCGGTTTGCCCTCGGCCAACCCTCTCTGGGGCGGAGCCACAGGCATCTGGGTCGGCAACCTGCCCGGCCTTTGCCGCGAAGCCGAATTCGACCATTTCCTTTGCCGCCTGGGCTTCCCGAACGTGCAGGTGTTCATGCCTCGCAAGGCCAGGGTACCCAAGCGAAACAAGGGTTTTGTGTTTCTGAATCCCGGAAAGACCAGGCTGTTGATGTTAGTGAACGCCCTCTGGGGCCGCCGGCTCATCCACCGCACGCGCGAGCATGGGCTCGTGTTGCGGCCGCAGAACTTGCATGATCTGCAGGAGCGATTCGGCCAGATCTTGAAGCCATGCATGTAGAGCATAGGCTCATAGCTTGCATTCAGTCCGCCGCTGCCGAGCCTTGGCGACCCCGCTCTCCCAGCGAGCATCGCCACAGCTGCCACCAGTGCCAAGCCCACTTAGTCTGAAAGGCCACTGTCGCATGGGAACACCCTGCGTGCCTTTTTGACTGCGTTCCAACCAACATGTTCCAATGTCGCCTGGCATCCACACTGCCTATGCGGCCTGAGGGAAGAGATAGTCAGCAGATGCTTAGCAAGTGTAGCTGCTAAGCTGCTAGCCGAGAATCGCGGAGTTTTCGTTCTCTTTGGCATCATATCTCTCATGCCGCGGACATTTAAGTGTTGGGTCGCTGTCTCGAGACGATTCCTGAACGGGTGATCTCGAGACGATTCCTGAAAGGATGAGTATGCTCATTAAATGCCTGTTGTCAGGCCGGAGACCTGTAGTGCGAGTTAAAAAGGCTCCTGCCCGGCGAAGCGCAGACGAGGTTTTCGAGCTAATGTGGAGGCACGGCCGATTGTTGAAGTTCCAGTCCTGTAGATTTCTGTAGCGAATCCCAATCCGTTGTAGCATGTTCGGGGCTTTCCGCATGTTGCCCAGCACTTGAGGGTGTGTTGTCCTCGCGCTGGAGGAACAAGTTGGCATTGTGGATGTTTTAGAGTCCTAGGGGTCATGGGTTCTAGGACTCTAGGAGGAGCCCTGAATTCTCAGTAGGAGGCGACGCTCCGAAGCCCAGGATCTCTTCAACCTCACCCAGCGAGAGCTCCGCAGCTGTTCTGCGAGCCTGCACGAGCGCCTTGTGCCGGCCGGGGGCTTTGAGCTTGCCCTTTGCTTCAGATTCTGGGGTGCTTTCAGGATACTTTCAGGAGACTTTCAGGATAGCAGGGCCTGGCAAGGACCTCTCCGTGGCTTAGATGCGACTCTGTGACGTGCTGGAGGCCTGGCATGCTGCCCGCTGCCCAGGCAGCCCACCGCAGCCACAGGCGGGTTCCGCCGCCGAAATAACATATTTGCGCTGGTCATGGCAGGAGTGAATGTGCATTGCAGCGTGCAACAATGTGCAACAGCTTTGCCAGGCAGCTGGTTAAGGCAGCTTCAGTGGAGACAGGACAGTGCATAGGAAGCATGTGAATCGGTTCCCGAATGACAAGCCCAGATCAGAAATGCAAGGCCAGAAATGCATTGTCAGTGGACAAATCGTCGGTCAAGAGTCTTTGGCACATGCCTTAGCAGACGCCCGCCAGGACACCCCTTCTCCGTGACACAAGCTTGAGAAGGTAGTTAGTTGTTTGGTTTATATGAAGACGTTCATCGTCGCTGTGCAAAGTTGGACTGGACAGCCATGTTCCGCGAGATGCCGCTGTCTGCCCTTGTCCAAAGAAACTCTAGAGTCAGAAATGGGGTATGCAACTATTGGTCTCATGGTCAATGCGAGTAGTTAGTAGTTGACGTGCTTCGGCCTGCAGAAGGTCATGCTAGCGGAGTCCACCCAAACGACGGGACTCTGGTAGCATTTGGCAGTTTGGGTCTTGGGCATGTGCCCACAAGTCCAAAGATGGCTTGAGAGGCGCATCAACCCAGAGCAGAAGACTGCCAGCTCGCATCCCTTCGCCAACAGTTGTGAGGGGAAGAGGGCAGATCTTCGCAACACAGACGGGTCGTCACCGCCTCCCGCTAACTCTAGTACACCATGCTGCGTGAGGCAGCAATGGCTGGCAAAACCGACTCCCGACAAAGAGCAAATTACGCGTAGGCTGTAACTACAACAATTTGCGATAAGGAACTGACTAGAATCCCTGGAAAATTTGAATGGATCTTTGATCTCTTATAATATAAGATAATTTTTCTCGTTACAATTTACTCTGTATATGGATTTATAAATTTGAGAATATACTAACGATTATATTAGATAATATTGATATGACAGAATATTTGAATCTATTTCTAAAGAATTTTGTTCTTAAAAAAAATATTTTCCTTTTTTTTTATTTGTTTGGGTTAGAGCTTTTTCGAAATCGATTATCGTAATCAAAAATATATTTTCTCGATAGTTATGAATTAAAAATTCGAATTACCGACATAATTTATTATAGGAATGAATTTTCTATGTCCAAATTCTCTTAATTTGTTATTAATAGAATCTCGTAATAAAATTTTTTTTCGGAAATTTTGATGCTTTGAGGGGGTAAATTGTTAATAATAAGATTTCTGAATTTTTCGAAAGGTATAATTACGATTATGAATACTTCGAACTTGTGGTACTAAAATTTGCGAAATTTAAATGTTATTAGTATATAAAAAAAGGTCTTATAGTTTTAATGATAAAAGTCAAATTATTTATTATTTCAGACGTTGTTATATTAGGCGCCTCTTCTCTTTATATAATATGAATATTTAGAAATATTAATATCGGTATTTTTCTTGCTGATTTTTTTTATTAAGATTCTAATTTAAAATATTTTTCATATTTATTTCGTGATATTGAAATTTCGAAGATTGTTATAGTACGAATTAATATTTTTTAATTTTACGAAAACTCGCCCAAATAATTCATTCTTAATAAAATACGTCCTACATATTCTCACTATCTATATCAAACCTCGTCGTCCAACCCTCTCGCGCTCACTCAAATACCTCTTTTCAAACAATCTTTCTAATATGTCCCGATTTCTGTGGCACCAATAAACTCCATTGCCGGCTGAGCAGGCCATAACTAAAACGTACTCCTTACCTACATACAAGCCCAGGATATGTCTCTTATCTATTTGGGAATCCATCTCTATATTTATTAATTTTGAAATTAATACTCCAAGCCAAAACCGAAGAGTGCGGCCTCCCTTCATCTATCGATTCATGATAGAAATCGAACGGAAAAAAGAACGTAATCTTTTTATACCTTTAGATTTTTGGCCAGAACAGACATGCAAAAAGAGCACGACTTTTTTCATTTCTCGGTTTGTGCCAAGACCGACGAATAAAGTGGCCAAAATCGAAGAAGTAAAAAGAGCGCGGCCTTCCTTCACTTCTCCATTTAAGGCCAAAACCGAACGCGACCATCCTTCTACTCTCGGTTTATAGCCAAAACCGAGAAGTGAACGGAACACGACCTTCCTTTATCGATCCATTTCTAACCAAAACCGAACGGTAAAAGGATCGCGATTTGTGGTCAAAACCGAGAGTTAAAAAGAGTGCAACCTTTCTATACCTCTCCGTTTAGGGCCAAAATCGAGGGAGAAAGGGGCACGGCCTTCTTTTTCCTCTCGAATTGTGGCCAAAAACGACGGGGTAAAAAGAGAGCGGTATTCGACAAAACCGAAGAGACCAAGAGAACACGGCTTCTTTCCCAAGATGAAAAGAACGCTCTTCCATTTTTTCTCGGTTCATAACCAAAACCGAGAGAGCGCGACCTCCCTTCGCCTTACGATTTGTGGCCAAAACCGAGAGGTAAAAAGAGCGCGGCTTTCCTTCACCTCTCGGTTTGTGGCCAAAATCGACGGCTTCACCTTTCGGTTTGTGACCAAAAGCGAGAAGGGAAAAGAGCGCGACCTTCCTTCACCTCTCGTTTTGTGGCCAAACCGAGGGTTGAAAGCAGCGCGGTCTTCTTTCACCTCTCGGTTTGTGGTCAAAAGCCAGGGTGAAAGGAGCGCGATCTTCCTTCACGTCTCGGTTTTGTGGCGAAAACCGACGGGTGAAAGGAGTGCGGTCTTCTTTTATTTCTCCATTTGTGGTCAAAACCGAGGGGTGAAAGGAACGCGGCGCCTCAAATAACGATTCAATTTCTATTCCAGCGTGAGAGAAAATGTAGAGAAGACTTGGTCTCTTTTCTGTATTGGGCGAGATGGAGGAGGAAGAAGATGATTCCAGATCCAGAACTTGTTCCGATGCGAGCAACGGTCCCTATACGAATCCTCACCGTCCGGTTTGTGGCCAAAACCAAGTAATGAAAGCAACACGGCCTTCCTTCCTCTGGGTTTGTGTCCAAAACCGAGAGGTGAAAGGAGCGCGGCCTTCCTTCACTTCCCGGTTCGTGGCCAAAATCGGAAAGTGAAAGGAATGCGTCCTTCTTTCATCTCTCGATTTGTGGCCATATTCGAGGAGTGAAAAGAGAGCGGCCTTTTTTTCACCTCTCGGTTTATGGCTAAAACCGAGGAGGCAAACGAGCGTGGCCTTCCTTCACCTCTCGGTTTGTGGCCAAAACCGAGGGGTGAAAGGAGCGCGGCTTCTTTCACCTCTCGGTTTGCGCGACCTTCCGTCCCTTCTCGATTTATGGCCAAAGTCGAGGGGTGAAAGGAGCGCGGCCTTCCTTCATCTCTCGATTTGTGGCAAAAACCGAGAGGCGAAATGAGCACGACCTTCTTTCAAATATCGATCTGTGGCCAAAATCGAGAGGTGAAAGGAATACGACCATCTTTCACCTCTCGGTTTGTGGCCCAAACCGACGGGAGAAAGGAGCGCGGCCTTCCTTCTTCTCCCGGTTTGTGGTCAAACCGAGGGCTGAAAAGGAACGCGGCTTTCCGTTTGTGGCCAAAATCGAGGGTGAAAAGAATGCGCCCTTCCTTCCCCTCTTGTTTTGTGGCCAAAACAGAGGAATGAAAGGAGCGCGGCCTTCCTTCACCTCTCGGTTTGTGGCCAAAACCGACGGGGGGAAAGGAGCACGAGCTTCCTTCGCCTCTGGGTTTGTGGCCAAATTGAGGGCTGAAAGGAGCGCGACCTTCCTTCACCTCTCGGTTTGTCTCCAATACCGAAGGGGGGAAATGAGCGCGGCCTCCTTTCACCTCTTGATTTATGGCCAAAGCCAAGACGGGAAAGGAGCGCGGCCTTCTTTCCCCTCTCGGTTTGTGGCCAAAACCGAAGGATGAAATGAACGCGGTCTTCTTTCATCTCTCGATTTGTGGCCAAAACCGACAGGAGAAAAGAGCGCGACCTCCGTCCTTCGCCTCTCGGTTTGTGGCCAAAAGGAGATGAAAGGAGCGCGGCTTCTTTCCCCGCTCGATTTGTGGCCAAAACCGAGGGGA